TTTTGAGGTGGCGGAGCCGCCGCCAGCGGCGCCAGTTGAGGGCGAGGAGGAAGCCGTTGAGGAGGTAGGTGGTGATGCAGACGAGGCAGAAGTCCTGCAGGCCGAAGGCCAGCACCCCCGCCAGCCACAGCGAGGCCACCACCGAGGCCACCGACGTCCCCAGCAGCACCGCCGTCGCCCCCCGCCCCGGCACTGCCCCTGTGGGGGGCCGGGGTGGGGGGGGTGTGGGTCTCCAAGATGTCCCCACTGTCCCCAGTGTGTCCCCAACATGTCCCCACCACACCCCCATGTGCCCAGTGCATTCCCAGTGTCCCCAGTGTGTCCCCAACGTGTCCCCGGGGCATCCCCAGTGTCCCCAATGTGTCCCCACCATGTCCCCAGGGCATCCCCAATGTCCCCACCACGTGCCCAGTGTCCCCAGTGTGTCCCCAACATGTCCCCACCACACCCCCATGTGCCCAGTGCATTCCCAGTGTCCCCAGTGTGTCCCCAACGTGTCCCCGGGGCATCCCCAGTGTCCCCAATGTGTCCCCACCATGTCCCCAGGGCATCCCCAATGTCCCCACCACGTGCCCAGTGTCCCCAGTGTGTCCCCAACATGTCCCCGGGGCATCCCAATGTCCCCAACATGTCCCCAGGGCATCCCCAGTGTCCCCACCATGTTCCCCGTGTCCCCAATGTGCCCCCAGTGTGTCCCCACCCTGTCCCCAGTGCGTCCCCAGTGTGTCCCCACCATGTCCCCAGTGTCCCCAATGTGTCCCCACCATGTCCCCAGGGCATCCCCAGTGTCCCCACCATGTCCCCAGTGTCCCCAATGTGTCCCCACCATGTCCCCAGGGCATCCCCAGTGTCCCCACCATGTCCCCAGTGCCCCCAATGTGTCCCCACCATGTCCCCAGGGCATCCCCAGTGTCCCCACCATGTCCCCAGTGCCCCCAATGTGTCCCCACCATGTCCCCGGGGCATCCCCAGTGTCCCCACCATGTCCCCAGTGTCCCCAATGTGTCCCCACCATGTCCCCAGGGCATCCCCAGTGTCCCCACCATGTCCCCAGTGTCCCCAATGTGTCCCCACCATGTCCCCAGGGCATCCCCAGTGTCCCCACCATGTCCCCGGGGCATCCCCA